GCTGAAATGCAGATTTATAAAATAAACCTGAAAAGACTGTCTCTATAGAGTTTTATATAAGTACTTACCGTACCTGAGAATATTCTCTAAAAAAATGATGGCAATAGAAATGTTGGGGAAAAAAAAAAGACAAAAAACCAAACCCATTACCGTGAGCGGATTCTGACTCATAGCAACCCGATAGGACAGAGTAAAACTATCCCCATAGAGTTTCAAGGAACAGCTGGTGGATTCGAACTGCCGGCCTTTCGGTTAGCTGCCAACCTCTTAACCACTGTGCCACCAGAGCTCGAGAAATGTTGAACAATAGCGATTTAATTGAAAATAGTTATCTTGAGGTAATATTTAATTTACAATTTTAACATTCTATGACTTCAGAATATATAAAGAACAATCAAAACTCAACAGTTAAAAAAAAATCCAATTATAGAAGAAGCAAAAGACATGAACAGCTATTTCAGCAAAGAGATACAGATGTTGAGTAAGCACATGAAAAGATGTTCCTATCATTATCCATTTGGGAAATGTAAGTATTTAATAACAACTATTAAAAACAAGTTACCCTCAAGCTGATTCCAACTCACAGTGACCCCATGTGAGTTAGAGCAGAACTATGCTCCTTAGGGTTTTCAATGGCTGATTTTTCATATGTAGAACACCCGGCCTTTGTTCGGAGGTGCCTCTGTGTGGATTCAAACCTCCATCCCTTTGGTTAGCAGCCAAGCATGTTAACCGTTTGCACCACTGGGGACCCCACACAACTATTAGAACAGTGAATTTTATTTTTAAGTGATAATACCAAATGATGATGAGGATGTGGAGAAACTGGATCTCTCATACATTGCTGGTGGTAATGTATAATGTACAACCACTCTGGAAAATAGGTTTGACAATTTCTTTTAAAACTTAGCATCCCAGCAATCACATTTTTTGGGCGTTCATTCCCAAGAAACAAAAGCTTATATTCACACAAAAGCCTGTACACAAATGTTCATAGCTGCTTTATTCATAACAGCAAAATACTGGAAACAACTCAAATGTCCTTCAATGTGTGAATGGTTAAATAAACTCGGATACATCCATACAGTGCAAGATTAGTCAGCAAAAAAAAGGAATGAACTATTGATGCATACCACAGTCTGGATGAACATCAAGGACATTATGCTTACTTAAAAAAAAAAAAAGTTAATCTCAAAACGTTACATACCGAATGATCCCATTTATATAACAATCTTGAAATGACAAAACTACAATGATGGAGAACAGCTTAATGTTGGGCAGGTGCAAATACAAAGCACAAGGGATTCCTTTGTGATAGTAGAATAGTTCTGTATCTTGATTATATTTTTATTTATTTTTTTAATCCTAGGGTCACTGTAGTTCAAAATCGACTCAATAGCAACAAGTTACGACTTTGGTAAAATATTTACCATAAAAGTTAGTCAAAAAATTTTAAACCACTTGTGTGCAATACAACCCTGAAAATGTTGAAATACATAATGTGGGCTAAATTCAGCTTTACCGATCTTCATATTTATTAAATCAAATAGTTTTGATTTTATTAACAAGCAACAATTGCAGCATACAAATGTTGATTACTTTATGGTAATATAAAGAGCAGGAATATGTTCATGGCAGTGTTTCCAGGGATTATTTGCTATTGTTTCTTTTCTCTCCCTTCTTGTTGGCAACATATAGCCTGTACTCCTTGCTGAATTTTCTCCAACTTCTCCAGAATCACAAGTTCCATATGTAAAATTTGGGACTACACAGCACCATTGTGTCACATCTTCCACAGATCACTGCCCCTATTTGGAAGGACTTCCCAGAAAGTAACCTTTCCTTTTTCTTATCTGAATGACTGTTTACATTAATTTATTTTCCTGAAAGTTCTTTAGGTCAGTTTACCTCAGATTTAGCCATCCAACTGAGGAATTCCAAAATAATGGATTGTTCTTTATCCTCTTATAGAAGGAACATCCCTTTGGAAGGCCTTCAGTTTCAGTGCTGCCTGGGGGTGGAGGGCTAAAGGGTAAATCTGCTAACTGTGGTCTTGGAGTAAGTGTCTTTCGCCCCAGAACCTGCCTCCTGCTTAAGAGAAGCATGTCACTTAACCCTTTTTAATTTATAACTGAGCAAATGCAGGAAAGTGAGGAAAGGCAGAATATTCAAAAGCCGGTTGGGGATAAAATCAGGATTACACTGTACAGGCTATAGCCAGGCCAACCCAGGTGCAAATGCACCTGTCAAAGCCTCAGAAAATTACTTACCTCTCCATGCCTTGGTTTCCCTGTCTATAAAACGGTTATAATAATGGCATCCCTCAATAGTTGTCGGGATTAAATGAGACAGTATGTTTTAAAGCACCTAGTCCATTCAGTGGCTTCAGTAGGGTCGGTGTCACCCAGTGCCCTAACTCATTATGATGTCAAAACACACCCCACCCTCCATAGGCAGCCAGTGGACCCACCCCGGTGAACGAGCGCCGGCTCCCTGCCCACGCAGAGTCCAGCGCTGTACAGCCCCTCCCAGCCCGCCAACCCCCTCCCCAGGACTCCCCTTAGCTCCTCCCCTCTCCCACTGGCCAAAGCGGAGACCCTCGTCTCCACTCAGTGCAGGGCGCCTGGCCCAGCCACCTGCAGCCGGACTGGCAGGTGGGGATTGGGGGGTGGTGACAAGTTACCGCACTGGGTGACACCAACCCTAGTGACGCCGCTGCCTTGGCAGCCCCTCACCAGACAACACCGCCCCCTCCACCACCGCTGCCGACCCTGGTGTCATTTTGGTGTCATCCCCTCCCTCTGACAATGTCAGGGGGTACAGTCCACACCCCCCTCATCCCTCTAGTGATGCGACTGAGTCCATTGTTTGCCACAAATGAGGGCTGCAATACATATTGGCTCCCGTTTCTTTTGACTTTCTACCCTATTTCTTTTCTTGTGTGTGCGATAATTTTTTTTTTTTTAATTGTATCTACCCTATTTCTTAACCCCGAGGGCCGTTTGAAGAGAAAGGGCTTGCAACGAAGAGAACTGATTGCTAGGAGTGAACAGGATTAATTAACTTTTCCTAAGAAACTTGTTCCTAAAATGAAGTATTTTGATTGAACCTTTCAAAATAGAGTCATTTTTAAATAGACTAAGGGAAGCTAGTTTTGTATCAAATGACCGATTACCTCCTTGTGTATCTGTCTTGAAGTCCTTAGACACCTATACTTGGTTTTCCCTACCCTCTCTTCCAGGTATCAAAGATTAGGGCTTGATAACTCCGTTTCTAAAGACAATGCCATAAGGACATAAGGACAGCTTAAACAAACAAACAAAAATGTTGCCCATGATACCTTTCCTCGTAAAAATATTGAATTCCACTATATCCTGGGGCGGGGGGTGGGGGGGTGGTCTCTGGGAGATTCAGAGAGCACCAGGCAGGCCTTGGTCTCCAAGGTGAATATAAACTAGAGAAGATTAGGAATACCCAATGGACTGAACCTCATCTAGGAATCCAGGAGAGGACAGTATTCCATCTAAACATGGGGGCAGAGGAGTTTGTTTGCTTTTAGGATTTTTTCACGTGAGCCATTTCTTGGGAGATAACACAAAGAAATAGACTTTACAATAAAATGTGGCTCTCTTTTTCCCAGCCCTTCAATATCTCAGGAACATCTTACCTGAAAACTCCTTGAGGGCCAGGACACATTGTCGCCATTTTGTAAACCCAGCACTTGATACACTGCCTCTTCATTAAAGGTTTATTAAATGACTAAATCCCTTAATGTAGCTGAACACATTAGTAACTTTATTCCACCAGTTGCCTGTTTACAGGCTGGGAAAGAGGAGGTTTAAACAAGTAGACTGAAAGCTCCCGAGGGTGTGGACCAGGTTGGATGTGTTCATCCTTGTCATTCATTCAGGCCGGATTACCCGATAAGCAAAGTAAGCAGGGCCCTGTTGTGCCTTCCCACCAATCTGCAGTGCACAATTTCACCTGTTCCCCATCAAATAAAAAATGTGGTGAAACCCATGTGAAATTGCTTACCACAGATTGGCAAGGAAAATACAGCTAAGCCTGTGCCTACCTTGCTCAATGCAAGCCGGTGCATATTGTGTTTACTGGTTAATCTGCCTCTGACTGTCACCTACCCAGAGTTTGGCAAGGTACTTGACATACTTTAGGCACTGTTCAGTATTTGTTATGCGAATGCGCGAAAACTACCCCCGGTCCTGTCCTCAGAGCTCAGAGTTAGCCTGGAAGAGTGAGAAGAGTTTTCAGGAGGAGGAATGGGCTGTCATGGGCTTCGGAGAATTCTGACAACCCTTGAGGGGCCAGATGTCAATTTTCACCTCTTTCTTCAGCCATTTGCAGGAGGTTGTAAATAGCCTCTTGGGTCAGGGGCAGCCGATGCGTCCCTACGCCCCCTGCGGGGAACCCAGGAGCCAAGTCGCGGGAGGAAGGTAACACAGAAGGGGGAGCCCGCCAGCACGTGCAGCGCCCAGGGGAGGAAGAGGCTGGGCTAACGCAGCCCTTAGTCAGCAGCTGGGCTTGATTTTGAAACAAAAGCCAATGTCCTCCCTCGGAGTCCGCGGCCAGTCAGCTCCTAGAGGGAAGAAAGCCATGCTGCCCAGCCGGTTAGTGGCCCAACTTACTTTTCCAGAGCCTGGGACAAAGGGCCAGAGGATGTGCGGGAATGGGTGGGATGGTGGGGATGGGAGACGGCACAGATCACCCTGACCCTCCCCTCCGGGAAGCTTGGGAGAAGCGCTGGGGTCTTCATGCTCTGCGCATGTTTGTGTCGGGCAATTCGGCTCTGAGCCCGCCCCCTCCCCCCCAAGTCTGCGTAAAGCTGAGGCACCTTTGCAACCCGCGCCCCAGCGCACAGACACACCAGGCCTTGGTTTCATGAATGAAATCCAATCGTGTGGGTATAAATAGCCACGAACGCTGCTAACGTCACAGTGCAAGAGGCAGCCGCTACCGCGGCGGAGATAGGTGCTGGGCGCTCGGTTCCGCCCGACTGCCCCGCCTGGGAGTGGGGTGGGGGCAGGAGGCGAAGGGGAGGGCTAGGGGTGGGAAAGGGGCGAGCCCCTCTCGCCCAGGAGCCGGCAGAGCCGCGGCAGCGCTGGGGAGCCCGCAAGGCGAGGCAGTGCCATGCTGCCTTTGTGCAAAGTTGGGCGGCGGGCTGTGCGCCGCGCGCAGGGGCCCCGCACACCCGCGACCGCGCGCAGTGGTGGCTGCTGCTGAGTGGCGGGGGCCTCCCTGCTCCCCCCAGCCCTTGAAGGCGGAGAGAGCTCGCGTCTCACTCGGCTTCAGGGTAGGTTCTGTGTCGTGAGTGCGCTGTGGTATGAAACTTCTCTGAGCACCCGCCGCGTAGCCCCCACCGCCCAGGCCCCAGCGGGTGGCACATGGGGGCCCGGGACCCCGCCACGCGACCAGCAGCGTCCCAAGAGAGAGTTTGGGGACCGAGCTGTGGGGTGCCCTAGCCCCTCTGCGAGGCCAGGGACCCCATACCAGAAGCAAGCAGATCTCTAGGCGCGCCCACACAGCCGCACCCCTAACTTGGAGCTGAGAAAATGCACAACAGGCACCCTTAGTAGGCTGGCCGCGCCAGGGAGGGATTGGTGCCGCGCCTGTAAGAGGGCTCTTTTCCTTCGAAGGACAGTGGTGGGGAGCAGGAGGACCTGAAAAGGGGCATATGCTAGCCCCTTTGCCGCTTGCACACCATGAGAGTTCACCGGTCAGCTCACAGTTTGGCGCCCCCACCCCCACCCCCCACCCCGTGTCTATGGAGTCTGTTGTGAGTTGCTGTGACAACAGCAGGAGCTGCCATGAGGGGCTTGCAAAACACTTTACCTTGTCTCTCCGTATGCTCAGCTTTTGGAGAGAACAACGGAGGGGCGGGGGAGCAGTTGTGCAGACAAAGGAATCCACACACCCCCCCCGCAATTAAAAAAAATGGACAGAAGGCACAAATGTGTACAAATATATCATTAGATTGCACTGTTAGCTGTGCTTTTTCTATCTTCAGCAGTATCAAACATCTCAACTGAGGAGCAATGTCAATATTTAGACTTGGACAAGCCAGAAAGTTAGAAGGGAGCGCCAAGCGCGGGGTTTTGACTTGGCTTTGCACGTCAGCACACAAGCTGTGCCTTTGGAGCTGACTATACACATTTGCTGGGGGGAAAAAAATGCATGGAGGTTGATATATACCCAGTGGCAACCAGGTCTAGGAAGATCTAGGAAGCTGAGACCGTAAGAGTCTCCCAGACTTTGAACTTCCCCAGCCTGTGCTATTCAGGAGCTCTGTTGTACCCCAGCCAGATGCTCAGCTTGTGTTTTCTCTGGTTTGGGACTCCCCTACCTCCAAGGGGGTCTGTGCTACACACTCTGCACTGTATTGTATCCTCTCTACACTGCATGAATAATACTGTTCTCTTTAAGTTATCGGTGGTTTTCTTCTTTGTATAATGCCCTCCCACATCACATAGCCAATAGGCTGCGTGAGTTTACTTTGGGAAACTTTTAAAATTTATTTATTATTATTTATCTTTTTTTTTTGATAAGTATGTTTACAAACACTCTTTAGAAATTTGTAAGTACATTTCATTTCCAATAACTTTCTGCTGCCTAAAAGAGTCATTGGTTACTAGAAAACAAACACAGCTCTTTTCGGTATGGTAATGTCTGCATACTGCTCCACAGGTGGAGTGAGCAGTAAATTATTAAACAAGAGTTTCTCTGAGGTTCCTGGATCATATTTGGACATATTGGTGGGAAAAGGGTTTAAGTGGTTTGTCTCAGTGTAGAAGGCTTTGAAAAAATCATTAAGCTATAAATCATGGTCAGTATCCATCTAAACTTCCCCATAACATGTTATTTTCCCAAATTTTGAAAGTGGTGTAAATTTAATTATATAGGGCTGTGTGTGAGAACAGAGGTGTAAATAGAAACACACGTGGTTTGATGTTACTGGTTCTATAATACAATTTATCAACTATATAAATATAGTTTCATAGGAAAAGCTAGCATTGTTTGATTCTTCAGTTATGATAAACCAAAAAACCAAACCAGTTGCCATCGAGTCAATTCTAACTCATGGCAACTCTACGTGTGTCAGAGTAGAGGGGTGCTCCATAGGGTTTTCAATGGCTGTGACCTTTCAGAATGCGGTTGTCAGGCCTTTCTTCTGAGGTACCTCTGGGTGGATTTGAACCTCCAACCTTTCTGTTAGTAGCCAAGCTCTTAACCATTTTTGCCACCCAGCAACTCCTTAGTTATGATAATAACCCACCAAACCCAACGCCTTCCAGTGGATTCTGACTCATAGCGATCCCATAAGATAGAGTAGAACTGTTTTATCGGATTTCCAAGGTTGTAAATCTTTACAGAAGCAGACTGCCACATCTTTCTCCCACAGAGTGGCTGGTGGGTTCGAACCGCCAACCTTTCAGTTCACATCTGAGCACTTTAACCACTGCACCACCGGGGCTCTTTAGTTATGATAATAGTACCTAAAAAGGCTATTTTGGAGCAATAGCACGTCCACTTCTGTGACTTCTGTATTGTAAAATGTCTGTAAGATTTTTATTGTTCTCATCCCTTGGTTTGAGGCCAAGTGCTTTTTTTTTTAATCATCTCAAATGCTCAGAAATATATTTTCTCAAATGCTACAAAATGTTAACCTCACTCTTTCAGGATACATTTAACCCAAAGAAATGCCACTTTAACACAGGCACTTTGCAAAAATAAAGCAGATTCTGCTCTTTGGGGAAGGATGGTAGAAAAAACAATGGATGTTGACAATTTTAGTGGCTCCTGACAGGCAATAGGATTTATAAATTATCTCTCTCTTTTGTGTAGGTAAGTCTACCTGTGAGCAAGGTGTTCTGTTCTTCACTTCCAGCAAGCCAGGTCAGTGTGTTCGTGCAAACCCGTGACCATAGATTGATGATAATCCTGTGTCTAATTGTGAGCATGCGTTGCAGAACAGGTTTCTTGGTAATTTATCTTAAAAGGATGTGTCTTCATCATTTGTTTTATGAGCTCAATTAAGATCATCACATGTTCAATGATTATCAAAATTATTCTATTATGAGTAAAATAGAATAGTAAGCCCTGAATTTGTGTTTTCTAAGACATTATTTATTTGTTTGTTTTACACTGAGGATCAACGTAATATGAGAGAGTTGAGAATACTAGGGATATAGGCACTTGATAATTAAGGTTTTACTTCTAATCTTAGCACATAAGACTGAGAAGAAACTTGATATAATAATAGTTGACATTTATTGAGCACCAACCGAGTTAGGTCAGATAATGTGTGCTGCATTCTTTACACTTATGTTCTCATTGTACTTAAAAAAAAAAAAACCCTGTCAGGTGAAACCACTGTCTTGATTCCCAAATGACAGGTGAGAATTGGAAATTCAGAGAGGTTAGATAATATATTCAGTTCATACTTCTAGTCAATGGTAGGAATAGGATTTAAAGAAAAAAATACTGTTCTTACTCTAAAACCTAAACTCTCCTATTGAGAAAATTCTTCTCTAATAGTGAAAGTGAGGCCCAGAAAGACGAAGTGATGGGCCTAAGGTAACTTGGTAATTACAGCTCATATAATAACATTCGACGGTCCAGCTGTTGCAAAAGAATAACTTCCATTTTCTTAAGTGAAACAGTGAAAAAATAAGTATTTAATGTGTCCTTTCTCCTGTTGTGCAGTCTCTGGTCTTAAGGATATTACAACCAGATTTAAAAGGCAAGGAATTAAACATTCATGTATGAGGCAATTAGAGAATACATCAAGATTATATGTGGCAAAAGGCTGAATTGGGGATCAATGGTACATTTATGAAAATTGTAGCATTTTGCGATCTGTGAGATTACTTTGAAATTCCACGTATGAATGGAAAAAAATTTCCAAGCACAGTTTCTGTATGCATAGATGGTAAATGGATGAAGAGTTTAGGAAAAGACAGAATATAGAATTTCAGCCCAACAGGGAGTGATCAGGCAGTCATCCAGAATCACTAAATTACAGTATCTCAAATTCAAAGACATTACTGTTGCAAAAGCATTGTGACAAAATTGTGAGCTGTTTGAACCTGCACAGCATCTTTAAGAAAGCATTACAATTCTACATGATGCTTGAAGTACTGGATTAGAATCTAGTTTGTCTAAAAGGTGTCACATAGATAGATTTGGATATATAATAAATAAATCCCAATCGAAATCCTGAAAATGTCCACTATCTGAAGGTTAAGTAAGACATTTTCAATTTTTGCCTGGATTGAGGACCTCCTCTTCCCCCTCTTCCTTCCTCTCCCTCCCTCTCCCCTTCCTCCCCACCCCTTTCTCCTCCTCTTCTGGTAGAATGATTCGTAACAGTTGTTAATCTTTCCTAGGGAGTATTCTCATATAAAAAAGGTAATAAAAGATGAAATGGAGGAACAAATTACTAAAGAAAAACCTCAATATATCATTTTTTGAATGTACTGATATCGCCAAGTCAAGCCGATAACCCTAGAAGCTTAATTAAGAGAAACTTTGAAGCATTTAAGGGATATTATAAGCTGTTCTGCAGCCCTGGTGGCACAATGGTTAAGAGCTTGGCTCCTAACCAAAAGATCAGCAGTTCAAATCCACCAGTCGGTCCTTGGGAACCCTATGGGGCAGTTCTACTCTGTCTTATAGGGTCACTATGAGTCGGAATTGGCTCAATGGCAACAAGTTTGGTTTTTGGTTTTATAAGCTGTTCTATAAGAGCATTGTCCTGTAAATGTTGTTATAAAATGGGTTATTACAAAATATATTGTCCCAGGAGACATATATGTTCCATACTGTCCCATAATATTATGTTGAGAAGATCCTATTATAGGCTGAGACCTCACCAGCAACTGATTAACGGTTAGCTGTGACAATGGTATATCATGAAAACATCAATGTAGCAACTATAAAGCTATAATTGTTTAAAGCAGTAGAATTATACTTTGAATCATATGTTAGAGCAAAAAGAGACCCTAATATTAGCATGATATCTCTAATAATAATCACTTAATTAGCAATCATTTGTTTGCTTCGTTTGAACTTCACAAGGCTTTGGTTAATATGCATGCCTTGTCTCTTTAAAAAATGGCTAGAAACATTTGAAATTTTACTGTGTTTTTCACTCAGGAAATTCACCTGTAGGAAGCAGCGGAATTTTTGTTCTTTCTAGAAAACAGGCATTTCAATTTCCCATTATTTGAAAACCTCACCCTGGCTTCATGTAATAGGGTTCTAAGAGTACGAATGATGTGAATCTGGTTCTGGTGTTCATCTTTTCTCCATCCAGGCTTCCCACCAGCCTCACAATACCAAAACCACACTTGGAGAGGGAAGGGAAAATAAGTTACAAAAAGAATATTTAGAAACAGGCAGGAGGTAATAGAGTGTGTGAATGAGTGGTGAGGTTGGAAGGGGAGGGCTGGGAGAGGAAGGGAAGTTTTGGGGGAAAATAGTCACTCAAATGGGTACGATGTATATGGATTGGTTGTTCATATGTCAGCATCAGAATTGTTTTGTTTGTTTATAGTTTATTAACAAAGTGACGCCACCTCCTTCACCTCTTCCTTCTTGCTGGAACTTTTTGTTCTTTGTGAACATAGGGCACAAATTGAGAAATGAGCAAATAAAGACACTGAAAATGAAATGTTGGTATGACAGCCACTTTTTCCGGATGTCCCAGGACAATCCTGTCTTCAGATATTCCCGGTCCCATTAAGTGCATCAGCATGTCTTCAATCAGGTTTTATCCACTAAAGAGTGAATTGTAAAGTTTACAAAGAAAGACAGAGATGTCAATAGGCCTAGCAGCAGTAATTACATTACTCCGAGGCTGGGGTTATTTATTGCATAGACCCAGATTAATGGCAAGACTCCATTCCTCTGTGGAGAAGTTTCCTTTGAATTGTTACCCAGTTATAAACCAAACTCCTAATGACCATTGAAATAACAATAACCAGCATTTTTGATGCCCCTGCTAGGTGCAAGTCACTTGATTGCATTACAGCTAATAGTCATTATTTCCCATTTTACAGAAGCAGAAAATGGACCTCAGAGAAGTTGAGTTACAGTGTTAACAGGAAGCAAAACTTAGATTTGCACCCAGGTCTGCCTAAGGACTTGAATACATGTTTATTCTAAAAGAACTTCTGGAGAAAATACTTTAAACCATTTCCTTCCAGGCTTATTCCTGCAGATGATGGAGTGTATCAAAAACCCTTTGCCGTCGAGTTGATTTCGACCCATAGCAACCCTATAGGACAAAGTAGAAATGCCCTATAGAGTTTCCAAGTTGTAGCTGGTGAATTCGAACTGCTGACCTTTTGGTTAGGAGCCAAGCTCTTAACCACTGCACCACCAGGGCTCCATGATGGAAGATAGCAGTTAAATACTTACTATTGTTTTTGAGGGTTTTTTTTTTTTTTTTTTTTTTTAAGATGTAACTTGAACCATGTAGCAGGCTTACCTGAACAAATTTAGTAACTCTTCAGGTTATTTCTACTGTTTTTTGATGGAAGTCATAGTCTTAAATTTTGATAGTTGAATCTTGGAGTGTTGAATCATAGAGCCAGAAAGGTCCTTAAGAATATCGAGTCCAACTTCATACAGATGAAAAAACCTTTGACCCACAGAAGTGATGTATGATACCTACCCTCAGAGTTAATAAGTGACACAGTCTGAATTGAACCCAGGTTTCTGAGTCCCAGTCCCAGGGTTCCTTCCATTATATAACACTGCCTGAAAAGTGCCAAGTCTTCTAAAACCTCCAACGTAGCCAAAATTACAACTATCAGGTCTGAAATATATCTAAGACCTAAGGCACATCCAGAAACGGGTGATAAGAGGATTCTAGCAGTATAAAGATATGGTGGGTACTAGGAGAAACCTCACTTATCTTCAGTGACTCCAAGATAGAAGCCGTTTTTTCTCTTTTTTAAAACGTAACTCCACACTCTCATGCCTCCTAAGCTGTCTTTGTTGAGCAGTCTGTTGGAAGCTTTCTCGTGTTTTCTTGTCCTTGGAGCTCTGGTTGTTTATTAGCTAGGTGACTTGGGTGAAATACTTACTTCTTTGGATCTCATTTTCCTCATTTGTAAAATGGCAACAGTATCACATCCCTCAAAGGATTAGGAGGATGTAATGAAATCACACACGTAAAGCACAGAGTAGGAGCTCAGTAAGGGTTAGCTCTCTTCTGAGCCTTCCTGGAGTATCTCAGGATAAAATGAGGGTAGTCACATCATTTTCTCCCTAAACTTACTGGAGTCATTTTACTTCTGACATTGCAAGGGATGGTTATAGTAACCTTTTTTTCTTGGGTAAAAACAGGCCCAGTATTCTCTCTGGGTACCAGTAGCCCAGTCACAATTCCATTTGTTTCCTGTGTATTCTAAGGCTGCCAAGGTTTATGTGAGCTGAATTATTTTATTGCTTCAGTTTCTGCCGCAAACTAACACCAACCTCCTCTTGGAGATTTGTGGTTCTCATTTTCTTGCAGACACTGTTTAAGTACCTAACATGTTTTCCACATAGACCTTTGCATCTCAAAGCAAATACTGTATTTTCAGCCAAGTAACTAAAAAATATTTCCAGAGGATACTGTTGCCAGTAGAAAATTTTTGCTTTCAATTTTGAAACACACGAGACATTCCTCCCCATTTCAATCAACTCTAGTACTGAGTATTTTCTGCGTGCTGGCCCTGTCTTTCCTCTTTGTCATATGTTGCTGACTGATACATGAATAGGAAAAGTGTAAATACTACAATTTCCTCCTTTCGCCCTCAGCACTTGATAACTACTCTGGCCTGAATTACATCTCTGGGAGATGTTTTGTCACACTCCTCTCCCCAGCTGCCACGCTTTGTTAT